AAACTGAACGTTATGAACGGGGATTGCAGGGCGTTCAATTAATTAAATTCAATATATCAATTAATTAAAACGCATTAATTAAAATGCAATTAAATCGATCGATGCGAATTAAAGAATTAATCGCTAAGCTGGCTGATGTAAAAAAATAACAATAAAAATTGATTTATCATAGCCCGTGGACTAGAAAAATGTTTTCAATTAAATTTTTTTTATTCCCAGAATTGTGTAAAATGTATCTCGCGCGACCAAATAAATTGAACAGATGACAATTGGTTTGACGTGAAACTACATGCATAACGCAAATATACACAGTAAACAAACGCTGCGTTTTATGCCCGACTGTTATGAAAAGGAAAATAAAACAACTTTTTTTTATTGCCGTGCGATACGTAGAGCGATCGAGTTAATGAAAAGTCTATAATTTATATGAATGATTCAACGTATATTAAATGATGCAGAAGTTTCTACTCGACTTCATGAATGACTGACTCAATGTAAAATGAATGAAAACTTTGTAGTGTTTTAATTACGGATAATTTAACGCGTTATTTCACGTATCGAACGAATTTGGCTTGTCAGCCCGTTTGTTTCGTCATCCGACTTCGGTCATGTCTTGTGATACAGATAGCATTTCTTTATCACAAATATTATTGTGTATTAATGCGTTATTATGCTATCTCGATGATTCGGAATCGAGACGGTTTGAGTTTGTTATAAACACGTGCAAAACTGACGCGGGCCACATCTGCGCGTATATATATGTAAAAGCGACCATTATTACGAGTAAATAACGATCTGATCGTATATGTATGTATACGTGTATATAAAGCGTATACGATATATGTATGTATACGTGTATATAAAGCGTGTACGAACGATATGTAACTGCTCTCTATCGATCGTGTATAAACCATATTCATTCATAAGGTACGTACAGCAGCAGCAGCAGCAGCAGCAGCAGCAGCAGTAGAAACGAAATGTCTCGTGGGTAATACGAATTCCTGGCATTATTTATCATTGTCCAGTTTTCATATTTTCTCGATAATTTATGTCGCTTTACGCACGCCCTTCCGCATAAATAGTAATAATCGACATAATAGCAGATATATGGGTAGACAACGTAGTAATATGTATGCCACGAAACACACGTGGAGAGTCTCGTATAAAAGTTCGCTATTGTAGTTCGTTAACTTGGCGCAATTTTCCCAACATTACTAAACTCAATCTCAAACTAAATTGTTCTTATTCAATTATGTTTATTCAGAAACTCGCGAATTCGACGATTATGCATTCTGCTTATTACGATCATCGCGTTTGACTGTACGATTTACTGTGACATGGTAAGAGGAAGAGGGAAAATCTGATAGCGACGATTCAGATTTGTGAAGCCTCATTCTTCTTCGACGCGTACTTTGTCCCTGAGAATTAAATCTCTCGGCGATACGTTCAAAAACCGAGATGGGTCGTTTTCTAAGGCTCTCGAGCGAGCGCGCCGCATCGGTCGTCGCATTACGAGAGACAAGTTCTTTGCATTCTTCGTCGCTTCGGTCGTTCCCCGACTCCCCAAGCAGCGGGATCTGCACTCGCGCTAATTATCCAAGTCCTCCATTAAAGCTCCAGCGCAGAACTTACTTCGGCGACGCATCGGGGCATCCCAGGCCGCCTGTCCTTCCGGTGCAACAACCCGGAATGCCTCCCAGCACAGCAGAACTCGTCTTCAAACGACGTCCGCGTCTCGAGCGCGTCGCTACGTTACGAGCGCCCGCGTCCCCGCGCCCTCCTCCCTCACCCCTTCGCCTACCCGCGCTCACCCTCTATCCTCCGATATACCAATTCCGCCCAGTGCTTCGCGATGGAACGTGAACTCGCCTCCTCCTCCTCCTCTGCCTCCTCTTCCTCTGTGCTTCACCTCCCCGTGCCCGGCCTGTCTCGCGCATAGCGATTCAACGGAGAGAGGACCGGCTAGCGGTGCTACGGCGGAAGAAAGAGCGAGAGAAGCGCGCGCGGAGGAGCGCCGCCGGGAGCGAGAGGGAGAACGAGAGAACCGGTGCGAGAAAGCAGATACGGAGCGCGGAACGGAGACGGATTGATACGCGGTGCTCGCGTGCGCCAGAGGAAGGTGGATAGATAGATCGAGAGAGATAGGGCGAGGGAAACAGCCGGAGGGACGTAGAACGTGAACCGATGCGGCTGTCGCGAGAGGACGAGGCACGGGGGTTAGGGAGGGGAGAGGGCTAGTGGAGAGGATCCGCTCTCCGAGTGTCAGGAACGAAGCGAGGGACGGAGAAGAAGCGGGCTCTGCGGTATGGAGCGACGGAGAAAGAAGCGGGCGAATCGAGATAACGAGCGCGACGGAGAGAGAAAGAGAGAGGGAAACGGAGAGAGCGAGCGAGAGCAGGTCGGAGAAGGAGACGGCGATACGCAGAACCGAGGGACGTGGGCAGATAGAACCCGAAGAGCGGTAGCGCGTGCTCACAAACTCAAACCAGCGCCTCGTCGTCATTGCTGCCTCCTCCGCTCTACCGCTACCATCCCTCCGTTCCCGCCCGTCTTCCCGTGCGCCCTCATCCGCCCTTCCGCCCTTCGCTACGTCACCCTCTGTGGTGTCCGCCTAACCAACCCCACCCGGTCCCTCGCCGCGCTACTCCCCTGCTGCCGCCGCTCTGCTGCCGCCGCCGCCGCCGCTGCCGCTCCCTCCCCCCTTCCTCCTCCCCCTCCTCCCACCCGCCTGTCCACCCACAGGCCCGCGAAACCGCTCGTTGCCGTACCACCGAGCCACCCCACGTACCCGACTCCCCCATTACCCGGCCGCCTCCGATCCTCACCCTTCGCCCGCGAACCCCCTGCCTGCCGGCCGACTCCTCTTCGCTTTGCGCGACTCCGCTCTCGGTCTCTTCTCTCTTCCGACTGCCGTCCCCGTTGCGGCCCTCGCCCCCTTCCCTCCCTCCCCGCTCTCTACCATTCCTGCCACTACCTCGCGACGCCCGGCGTCACCCCCTTCGGGCAACCAGCACACCCGAAAGCCGTGCGCGGTGGAACACGACAGGCAGCTCCGCGATTATCTTTTGTCCGATCGTATGTCGCGCGTGTATGCGTGCGAGAGAATGCGAAAGGGGTGAGGGAAGCGGAGAAAGGATGCGCGAGAGGACAGCAATTTAGAAGCAATATAATAGAACAGAATAGGAGAGAATAGAAATCGTCCTCGATGTTCTCGAAAACGTTTTACAAAAGGGAAATAATCAAAAACCGCGTGTGTTTAATCCGAACGAATTCGCTACAAAAAAAGGGGGGGAAAAATATGTAATTGAAAAAATTAATTACTATTGTTTCGTGCTCACTATTTACATCATCTCATTACTCATTTATGCTCATCATCGTATTATGCCTTTTCTCGCTCAAAAGTCTTCAATATCAAAACGGGGATGAGAAATGGGAATAATTTGATTTGAAAGATCCAAATAAACCCCATGTTCTCTCTAAATCTGCCGGACGAAGCAGGACATTTCGATATTTTATTAATGGACGATTTGAAATCTGACGATCAGTAGTGGAGATAATGGATAATACATGACCCACGATGATCTCTTTTCTATACCGCGCTACACCCTTCGCGATCGACGATTACGGGCATCTGTGTTACCGTTGATCTCGAGGCGATACCGTATCGTATTTTGTGATGCGTACTTCGAACAGAGGTCTGGAATTTTACGCGGTTTCGCGAGGTGGGGTAGAGGATGGGGAGATAGCGGAACGAGATGCGATCGGGAGCGGGTTCTAGAGAGGAAAGCGTGTTGCGTAGATCTCGCCGATATTCGCAGGAAAAAGGGACTTGTGTGCGCGGCGGCCGCTTTGTGCCGTCGTCCGTCTGTGCGGAGAACGCCCTTCGGCTAGGGCGAGGTTCCCGCTTTGTAACACTACTGATTTCAAATCGATCGCCCTGCTCCTTACATTTTGCGGGGAATTTTATGAAACGTCCGGTCGCACCCGAGCAGGTCGAGATGCGAGAATTGTCGCACGATTAAAATGTAAAATCGCTAAACGACCCGTTAAACGGTTCAATTAATAGCACGCGATACGCGTTTATTACGCGAATTATCTAAACATATTAATGTATTTTAATTTCGTTACGTATACATGTCAAATCAAGTCACGTATCGTCGAAGGGGGAGGGATTGTATCGTTTAGGAAGGATATACATTGCCTGCTGTTTTAAATTTTAATTTTAGAAACGTTATATTTTTAGAAGTTCGCACAAAAGCTCTAAAATAGAATAACGAGTTCGCTCTTTCACCAGAATTTTTTAATTCTACTTTTCCAACTATTTACTTGATAATTTGCATAATATGTAGATAACGTCAAGCGTAATTTATATGCTCGCGTGTGTACCACAAAATATTTGTAACCTTTAACCGCTGGCACGAAAACGAACTAGCATAAGTACTCGCTTAGCACTTTCGACGCGCAAAAGCAGTTGCACCTCAATTTAGCATAATTATATAAGTAAATAATTATACAGGTGTATAAACGTAATCTTGATTTAGAGCAAAATGAAATACATAGAATCGGATGTTTCCGTATTACCGACGGCGGAAGCGAGAACGAAGGCAAACAAAACGAGCAAACGTCGGAGTACGCGCGAGCCTTTCGTATACGCATGCAATTAAATATTAAAGGGGATTATACTGTTATTGAACGTTCCGTATTTAGAAAACTAATTTATGCAAACGTTATAGACATGTCGTTATATGCCCGTTCCATCTTCGTTTCGAAGATTGCTTCTTTTTGTTTTTTCGTGCCGGGAAGTCTTAACTGCGCGATAATATGACACATATTTCCGACGACGACGCGACGCAATCGCGTTATCCGCACGATCGTTTCTCTCTCCTCGCATGATGCTGTATACCGTCATTACCGCGCTGCCGATTACACTACACCGCTACAACGATTACCGCGCGCCATATCTTCCAGTTCTTACCTTCGATTCCTTCTTTCTTTTGCAGGCGAAGCCGAGTAACGATTACCGGATCAACGCTGACATCGATCTTGCCGCACCAATGGATATGTCGCGATGGGGCCCGAGATAGAAAATAGGTACGTGCAAAAATAATTCCCGCAGCCTCGTAAATTATTTATGCGACTCGTCAAAGTACGACAATTATGGCATAAGAAACTTACAAATTAGATTGAAATGACACGATTGAAGGATCGTATCGCGCGACCGCTTTTAATCCGTTTTCTGACCGTGTCGTCCGAAAAAAAAAAAGAATTACAGAATGACGAAAAATATGCGAAATATTATCTCAACGGATTGAAGCGACATAAATGACACGCGAAATGCGATTATTTCCGTATTATATGTAAAATGTCGTATGATGTTGCTGAAATAAAAAAGACAAAAGTATAATTCGTTTAAAAAAAGAAGCTCATTTTTAAACTATACGAATGATAGGTGAAAACCACGTTACAGTTGTATTGTCAGATTACGTTGTTTCATACGATATTTTTCCGCGCGAGCGCGAAGTTCGAGCGTTTGTAAAATCTTCGTACCGATTTTTTCGGTGCACGACGGTTATACGTGGAGTTGCGGAACCAGAGGCTTTTTATTATCCTCGTTCTTCTCCACGTTTCATCCTGTGCGTGGCAGACCGGATTCCGGAATTTTGTGGATTTTAAGGGGTGGGGTTATGGTGGACACGTTATCTCGGTAGTGGCTTTCGAGCCGACGATGTATTCAATCGAATCGGAACTATATAGTTGCTGCGCAGCGCTGTTTTTATTCTGTCGACGATCTGCATGATGAAAGTAACGAAAATTGATAGTATCTTTAGCGTGCTTAATGTTTCTACATGGCGATACGATTGTTTTATTTACATTAAGCTTCTACGAAAAATAAAACCTCTAAAATGACATAAATCGGGGAAAATTCAAACTGCAATTTGTTTCTGACTGCTGATGGAGGGAAAATGAACAATAAACTATTCGACATTTCATCGTTTGTCGCTTGTATGTTAATCTTGACGATGCAAAAATTTGTCGCAACGCTGATTTTTCTGATTATTCCTATATTAATGGGAATTAGTGAAATCCGGGACACACGATCGACTATTAAATACCTTCTACGTAGTTTAAATGAAGTTTGTCTCGATCATATTGCGACAATTTCGAATCTTTTGGATTTACAGTCGAGCAATACCCAGAGTAAAATTCGCTTGTTATCGATACAACGGTTTTCGGGCCGATAACGTGGATATTGGAGTATCGTTGTAGTGTTTTCTATGAAACGAGTGGCATCCGACGTGACGTAAAATTCACATTGCGATGATATAGTCAAATTCCATCTGACGCGCGCGGGGGTTAGCGCGGTTCGTTCGATGAGTGGTGAATGCGTTTGCAAACGTTATATTATATATAAACATAATGTTATCGCCCACCACGAGAAATCGTTAGTTTCGTTGACGCAATTTAATGCTTTAATTTGCACGGTGAGCATTGTGTATTTGTATGTATCCATATATATATAAAATATGATTGAAACTCAAAACGCATTTAACATTAAAATATGTACACCGTTATTGTACATCGTTATCTCTAAATGAGAAAAAAGATTGTACAGATTATTTTACGAGATATTTCAGCAGAAATTTGCTGACTCAAGAATAAGTCTCGTTACGTATATATTAGCATGACGTAATTTGGAATTATTTATTGGAACGGCGAAAAAAATGGTATGACTGCAAATACATTTTGATTCAATATTTCATGTTGTCCTTGTATAGTTTTGGCACGAGATTTTCGTGCACGTGCTTCGACTGCTGTAAAAAATTAAAGTTTTCTCGCGACAGGTAAAGTTTTACCTATATATAGCAATTCTTTCTCTCTCTCTCTCTCTCTCTCTCTCTCTCTCTCTCTCTCCCATCTCTTTGTAGGATATATCTAAAATACACAGCAAAGTTGTTGGTGAAAAATCTATCTCTAAAAACTACGTAGCTGATGTGAACATGTTTCGCAAACATCTCCAGACCACTTTCACATATTTTTATATCTCGAGTATGTGCATCAATGTGTGTATGATGTAATTTAGCCATTTCGGAAAAAGCTGACGCCGCGCGGAACACGTGTATGCTAAAAAATTTTGAATTTTTCAAATCTTTTTCCTTTGAAGATTGCGCACGCTTAAACGGCATTCGCTACGGTGCTCAAGTTTTAATTCTCTTCCGATACGAGCTTCTCGAAAGCATATACAATAGTATGTTTTTTTTTTTGGATTTACAAGTTACACCTCAGTTGCTTACATAATCCTCACGCACAGGCTCATCGCGCCTGATCGAGCGAGATACGTATAGCCCCGTCGTTCGAAATCTGTTATTATCGTTGTAATTATGCCGTCAGTGATCTCACGGCGTCCTTTTAGATTCGATAATATTCACGCTCCCCGATAATATTGACGCGGCTCGCACTTTGCGCCGCGGCGACACTTGGCTCAAGTGCGCAGCGACAGGCGTGTCGAACTTCGGGCGCGGATCGAATAAATCGTCGACGATGACGTCAACGGACAATTCTGTCTCTTACTGCACACGTAGGAGATAGATACGTGTGCCCGCTGATTGCAGCTTGCGCATGCACGCCGGCACCTTGCACGGCGTTGGCGTGGTTGGGCTATGGGAACTCGTTGTCGGAGTGACTCAACGCCGGCACGTCGTTTCCTCGACGATGATCGAAGCCACCCACACGCTTTCTGCTTCGCGCGCGCCCCGGCGGCGTTCTCTTGTCGTCGCGGCCGCGTCAAATCGCGTATTACAAAACTCGCACTCGACATCGCGATATGTAGGCCGCGCGCGCCGTCGCGTCGCCGTCGCCGTGTGTCGGCAGCAACCGCGAGCTACATAACGCGTGCGAAACGTTATTCCGCGCAGGTGAACGGAGGACGCGAATTTTCTCACGTGCTGGGCGCGATGAACACGCACATTTTCGTTCTTCAATCTCGATGCCCCGTTCCAGGATGTGTCTCGAGTTTCCGTATGGAAATGCGCGAACTGTTACGAAGGAGAATGGCGGTGTAAGCCCCATTTTCTCATCTCTTGAGAAATGCGGAGGGAAATTTGTGGAAGTAAACGTAAGCTCCGGCTTTACTTTATTGCATTGCTCCTTCGCGCCTCTTTTTCCCGCCGCGCACGGAAACAAAACCGATACAAATCGAACTTTTGTCTCTACACTTTTCCCTTATCATTATGTGCTTAATTCTCTTGCGTTTGCAAGAGAAGTCATACACTTTATATACTCTTAGTATCTAAACTTCAGTGAGCACATATTCTGTTTTCTCTTTATATTAAAGCAAATTTACCGGGGCAGAAGTTTAAACAGGAAAGATAAATTCCGCTTTTTATTCTCCGTGCGTATACTTTTCTCTATCAATATACTACGCTGTGTTGCCGCGCATTATGTAAACATCGGCAGGTATATAAATGCGCCGATACCCAAGTTATTCCCTCGGCTTATCTTGATCCTTGATTACTCCGAGATCGATAGCTTTGTTCTTTCGGCAATCGCTTGAGACGATAACAAAGCCGCTGCGTGACACGGCCATTAATTTGAGAGAACGACAGAGAATTCTTGCCGTTACTAGAATCGCGTCGGTGCCGCGCGGGGCGCGGGGATAGATATATCCCGATAATAGACGATATAGCGTTTCGCCTGCCGCTGGACACGTTTGATTTACAGCCCTCGTTCTGGCGTTGTTATTTATCCGACATCTATGCAAATTTTATTGTTCTTGCTCTTTGTCCGGTCAGCGCACTCGCTCGGAACGTCTCGCGCCGCGCCGATATGAATAGTTTTAAAAATTCGCGCACCACCACGCGCGCGTATTACCGTGTATCCCGTATTCGATGCGACGCGAACGAAATGTATCATCGACGGCTCGGAAAATTCGCTTTTGGGAAATACCCGCAATGAGCCGTGGCTCGTGGCCGAGTCGGTATGACTCACAAGATTTCTCGTCGCAAGCGCGACATGTCGCAAGACATGTGAGATCCGTGAACTCAATTCAGAAGGAGAAATTTCGTATATTTCATCTAGAAATGGTGACTCAGTTATTGACGTAGGAAAAGAAAATCTGAAAACGATTTTTGCGAACCGATTAGAAGCGTGTACTGATCGGTGCGTGACTTTTCGTTCTTTTCTCTAACAGGATTTTTAAAGAGTTAACACTGATACAATTTACGTACCGCATGGAAGAATAAAATACACGTCTTCCTCTCGTAATTAAATATCTCGTTTCGTCGTAATTGAGAAAAATGAAATAGCAAGTTGAGCCGATTAAAACGGATGTTCTATCTCAGAGCGGGATCACATTAACTTTCAACTACGACGGTCGGCGAAATCCGTCGGAGCACGTGCCACTTACCGGCACGTATAATGCAGAAATATTAAACTTTTTCGATATGTGCGCGTTGATGATAAAAGCCCCGCTTTCGCGCAGCTTAATTCGATGTTAATTGAAAAGTAATTTTTATTGCCCGAGAAGTTCGTAAACTGGTAATTTATGTCGCTGATTATTACACGTCTTTCGAAAGCCGTACCGACCATAAAATTCTTTCAGTGTCTTCTTATCTCGTTGTATATAGTCTCAATTTTTTTTTCACGAATTTACAGATTTAATCTTTAGAATAATTTTTTACGTCCCGAATTCAACTGTTTCGCCGCGACACCGGATAAATCTACCGTCACGTTCCGTAAAGCGTTTGCGTTTTGTCGTGGAACACGTGTGCGAGCATAAAGAAAATTTCACAGCCGGTGGTCGCGCGAAATTTATACTTGTGTCCGACTATGGCGGGACAACGTGTACAGAAATTTAGGCCATAAAGGGTTAATTGGTGACACGCCGTGCGCGCGCGCGCGGCGCATTTACCACGTGCCACCACGTGGCGATGCATTCTCGAGCGTTAATCCCCTTCGCGTCGGAGGTGGACAAGTACTCCATAATGACGGGGCGAATTGAGTATGAAGTTTCTCAATCGGGAGTAACTCCGCGCGACTTCGATAGTTACACTCTCGTGTTTCAAAACGGTGAAATTGGATATGCTCCGATAAGCGAGAAAGATGTGGCAAATTGAAGTAATAATAACAATATCGATCTTTTTTCCTATTTAGAGAAATATTATTTTTATTTCAATAAAACGTAATGTTACAGTAAAATGGACCTCATTTATATTAATCTAAAGATATTATTGCTCAGGAAAAAAATAATATATTTTTTAAATATTT